TTCGCCACCCACTTGACTGGGCCGTGGAGCCAGCGGAAGTCGTGAATCACGGCGATGATGCCAGCGATCAGCATCAGCAGGGGAAAGTACCACAGGGCGTTGTACAGAAGCCCCGCAGCAGCGCCGAGGAAAACGAGCAGTCGCGTGAGCTTATCGGTGATGGCCTTCTGTGCCAGCTGGACCGCGGCGAGCGCGATGATGCCCACGGTGGCAGCGTTCAGACCCGAGAGCAGCGCGTACACGGGGCCTGGGAGCGTCTCGTTGACGTTGGAGATGCCAATGGCGAGACCAAACATTCCCAGCGCGGCGGGCAGGCTGTTCCCGTATGTCAATCGTCATCCGTGGCGCGCATAACAAAGGGCAAAGTAAAGCAGACAAACCTCCAAATAAGGAACCCCAACACGGCCGACAAGAACCCGTCGTGGATCAGGTTGATGCAATACAACATCTTTGTGCTGCCCGGCCCAGAGAAGGCCTGGCACACGCTAAACAGCTCTTGATACTAACATTCAGTCAGTCAGACAGTAAGGACCCCTTATCATTCCCTCGTGTGAGAGAGGGGGGCCAGGCCAGGCCAGACTTACCACCTCTTCATCGATCCAATGCAGCTTGGTGACGAACTTATCATGAAACTGCAACCCGTCAGCATCACTCGGCTTCCTCAGCTTGTCGACACCACGGCAGATAGGAAAACAGGGCAACGTACAATCTTGAAATGCACCGGCGGGCCCCCGAACGAGGTAAACCCCAGATACCATGTCTCCCGGACTGTGTTCCAAAGCTTGCGGCTCAGATCCCGTTCCCAGAGGTTGTCCCAGGCCCAATTGGTGGGTGACCAGCCGGTCTTGACGCCCATGATCGCTGAGCTGTAAGGGCCACTGTTTGTTTTTGCTGGGTGGTTTTAAAGGATTAGGGCGAGAATAAGATGCAACTCCGAGATGGAAATGTCTTGCTCGTTCATATAGTTGAAGGGAGGGGCTTCAACAAGACAAGCGGGCCTGGTTTGTACAATCTGGAATCCTCGTCGTGAGAGAAAAGGGAAAGAGCTGGATATCGTTCAACTCTCCAGATATAGCATGTCGACATAAACATCCAAATAACCTTAAACGGCCTTGGCCATTGATCGATCACTTTCGGCGAGACAGATGAGGCAAGGCGAGACCCGGAAGACTTTTGGCGCCAAGGCTCTAACTACCGAGCTGGGAGTGGCCACTGGCCTCTCTTATGTGCACGGCAGACCACGTGGGTTTAGCGACATCCATATCTCATTTCCCATGGTTTCTGCAATATTCATATATTCCATGTCATCTCCCCAGACCCGACAGTCAGGGACTCGCCCCAAACCAGTGTATGTACATGTTAGGTAAACAACAATGTTTGAAGGCTATAGTTACCAATGATATACCGCCTCCCTCCTTTTAACCTCCACCGCCCGCTCCATACCTAACAATCCAACCCCATTACTAGTAGTACACGATGGCGCCAAAGCACTGGCTGCATGTAGCCAGATCCATTCACCCATCCACCCATCCGGCTAACATACATAATCCCCCCCAGAGCTGTTGCAGTAATAAGCCGAAACGCCGCCCAGCATAGTTAGTTATATCCCTAAAAACAGTATCCCGCCCTGTTTTGTTGATGTCTTCCGGACATCGCCCGTGTATGCCGTTGGCTATTCCAAGCATGTCTTACTTGTGTGTTTGTGACCAGTCCCAGTCCACCCACCAATGAAGCCAGTTGCGGGGAAAATGCCCAATGTAAAAAGATCCGCCCCTTTTCCAAACCACACCAAACCCAACGGTCGGGCGGCGACGAACCTGAGAGAGAGAGAGAGAGAGAGAGAGCCTGGTTGTTCTCGCAGCACCCTAGCGGTCTCAAAACGAGGAAAATGAGAGATACGCTCGCCACCTCAGTGTCGTTTGACGGGCAGATGGGCATCATAATCCCACGCCCGCTTGAGGCCGCCCTCATAGACACTCGCCACCGACTCCTGCCACATGGCCGGCGTCACAAACGTCTGCGCCTGCGCGGACGCGTACGGCGGAAGCGGCAGCTGTGCCCCCGGACGGAGCTGGCCCTGGACGGCGTGCATCTCCTGAAGGCTCGGGGAGACGCCCCCGGAGGAGGCCACGCTCAGGGAGCTCGCCTGCGTCGGTGCCGCCGCGGGCGGCGACGGCTGGATCGAGGGCGCGCCGAATGATGTGTTCCATTGGCTGGCGGTTTCTGTTAGCATTTCATCATCATGAGCGCCTGGCCGTGTTTGGATCGGGGACACCACTTACTCAAAGATGCGCGAGGGATTCCAGGTGGGTGCTTCGGACAACGGCAAGGTCTGCGAGACACCGGACGTCTGAGGACCGCGAACCGAAGCCATCGTGGTTAGCGACTGCACGACGGGCGATTCACTCTTGCCGTCCTGGGGGCCGACCGAAACGGGTGTCAGGGGGTGGTTGATGTAACTAACTTGCGAGTGCGACATTTGCGAATCCAGCGGTCGGCCGGGCGGGCTGGGGTGCGTCGCCGAGTGCGGGCTGCCGTACGGGAAGGTCGGCTTCAGGACGAACGGCTTCCTCACGTCGGCCGAGAAGGCCTCCCGGACCGAGTCGATCTGCTTTTGCATGTCGGGCATGGGCCACGCGCCCATGCACTTCTCCAGAATCCTCATGTGCCGCGTAAAGTAGTCTCTGGCCTGCGAGTTCAAATCTGGATCCGGCGATGTTATGGCGACCTGGGCGCTCGTCAGTCCACGCAAAGGCAAGAAAGGCTAGGGGGGAAACGTACTAGGTGTATCACGATGCAACCAAGCACGGCATAAATGGTAAAGTTAATCCCCCTCTGCATGCACTGCAGCCCATTCAGCCCAAACGAGTTCACAACCGCTTCTTGTAGCCTGCAGAGCATCTTGGCCGCGTTGTACGAGACCAGCATATGTTGCTTCCATTGTCCCCCAGGCGTCGACGGTGTTAGGACGGCCAATGATGGTCTGTTGTACAGGATGATCGACAGGTAGTAGTACGAATGAAGGTTGCCGACAAAGGCTGAAGGTATCCAAGGCGGCGATTCATCTGCCGGGTAGGTGAGTGTCAAGTCGGCGGGGAGTCCGGCCAACCAGGCGTCCAGAGACGGATCGAGTTGTGCAAACTCCGGGTTGATGCCCCATTCTTTGCTCTTTTTGAGCCGCCCATAGGTTCTTGCCATCCGGCCGACCGAGCGAACAATCCTGGTAAGGTAGGTGAAGTTACGTGAGATCTGGTGTTCGCTTTCGTCACCGTTCGGTATCGGCCGCGGAATGTCGAAGTTGACGCTGTCTTCTTCGATCTGAAAGTCGGTTCGACCTGGGCAACCGTAAGCGGATGATGTTTGCCTCGAGTTCATGGCACTTACCTTGCGGGGATCCAACCATCAACTCGACCACAAATAGAGTCTGCCAGATCCGATCCTTGAGCTCGCACTCTACCTGACTTCCACCGCATGGTCTACCGGCCTGATGGTCCGCATAGTGCTCGTCCAACCCAAGGACTTTGCCAAGCTGAACGCACTGCACGATGCTCATCCATGATCGGTAATAATAACCCTTCTTCGGCGCCGATTCCCTCGCCTTCAAAAGAATCATCATGGCCTGGAGCGTGCTCAGCCGCGGAACGTCCATAAACGAGTCGGCGTGTCCTAAGTAAGCAAGGTCAGTTCCTAGATCCGGTTACCAGAAATGACGGCCATCATACGTGTTGCGAGCGCTAGCCATTGCTGGCCTTGTGCGGGCTCGTCTGCGAGACGGCCTGCGATGGCAAACATGGCCTCAAGAAGAAGCGGGGAGATGGACTCCCGGTTGTTGTGCCATTGGTGGTAAAAGTAGCTCTTGTCGAGGACCGGAACGTAGGGGTGAGCATTGACAAAGTAGAGGTCGAGATAGTGGAGGACCGTGTCGTCGTCTGGCATCAGCTCCGGGGGGATTCGGATCTTTAGGCCTGGCCCTGCCGTTAGGGGGGGCAGGAACGTCTTGTATTCGTCGCCATCCTCCACAGCCGGCTCTTCGTCCCTGCTAGACTGCATTTTGCTGTTAAGATATGGTGCTGTCCCCGCCTCATTCACCTTCAAGGAACCCAGGAGATTCGCCAAGTCTTGTTGGGCGTACTCGGACTGAAAAGTGTCCTCTGGAGATCCGGGATTGGGCGCATGCTGCATCGGGGGCGTCGGAAACGCAGCAGTCTGCGCGGCGTACTGCTGGTCGACAGCGGCGACGGGGTGATGAGGCACGGCCCCATACTGAAGGTCGTGTGGCACAGGCTGAGGTTCCCCATACTGTACCGGATGGTAGAGACCAGAAGTATCTTGGTAAGTCTGCTGCGGGTAGACGGGCCCTGGCTTGGGCGCATGGGAGAGAAGGTGCTGCTGGTCTTGAAGGGGTAGTTGCTGACGGAAGTTGTCGGGAACATGTGAGGCCTCGAATTGGGAGTGTGGTGCATCGTATGCTTGTGAGTCGGAGCTGTCAAAGCCGTTCGGACGCACACAGTGCAGCTTCAGACGGATGCATGCAGAGCAGGGCCAGGTGTTGGTCGTTGCTGCGTCGCATTTAATTTTCCTCCTTCGGCATCCTTCACACGCTCTCATAACTATGTGTGCATGTCAGCACAGCACAATACTTGGAGCAAGACGGGGCAGGGATGAGATAGCCCATACCTTTCAATCGCTTATGTCGGTTGTGCTCATCGACGAAGACGTAATCTGGAAACCGGGTTAGACACCAAGACTAATCACCAAGGAGGCGGAGCCCGGCGACACGCATACTCTTTTGGGTTTCACGTGGCTGGTGCTGATAAGCTGGTGGTGCGAAAGAAAACGAGCCCATCTGTGAGGTCTGCGGGAGCAGCCGGCGGGCTGTCGGATCGTTGGACATGGTGGAAGATGCGGCTTGCACGGGCGCTCACGGCGGCGCGGTGATAAGAGGCGGGTGTGGGGGATAATGTGACATTCAGGACATCGACCAGGTTCAACCAAACTTATGTCGTTATCATACGGCTTGAGAGGCGTCGATGTTATCGTTGTCCTCAAGTCGTCAACACGAGGTGGGTGGCGCGCGCGGCAACGAGACGCTGTCGTCGGGCGATACGGCAACAAGCGCGGGCGATTCGGCCAGTGGAACGGCGCGGACGTGCAGCAGCTTTTAGCAATGCGCGTCCAAGCTCGATCCTCCCGGCCGGCGAGAGTCGAGCTAACGAAGGGTGCCTGACGGTGGTCCGGGGGCTGCTCAGAAACGAAGGGTAACCCTGTTCCAGGCTGCGTTTGTCGTCTAATAAACAGAATCAGGCCAGGGCCCGCACCGATCTAACAACTGTGAGCGCGGTCGAGGGGTTTCTCTGAACACCGCGGGAGCGGAGAGACTCTGAGGAGGGTTGTATGGGGAAGTCGCCGAAAAACCGGCCGGGAGGCGACCCCAGTAGAAAGAAAATGACGGCGTTGGGTGAAGAAGGGATCGAGAAGGACCTCGAATCCAAACCCCTGGAGCCGACTGATATCTCAAAGCTTCCAGGTTGGTACGTATCGTGAGTGGATACGCAATAGGTACCTCTTTGAAGAAAGATACAACAACGTCCGGTGTGCGTATGTATACTATATGATGTCGGTCGGCGGAGATGGCCGCGCAAGGCTACCCAGACTGCTGGCGTCTCTGCATTGACGCCATCTCAGAAGCATGAAGGGACGTGCCGCGGCGATGAATGGACAAGGAGGCCCAAGATGTGGTCATTTCCAGGGGCGCTGGATGGTGGGGTGAGCCTGCTTGGAAGCGGATCAAAGACGATGCGCTAAATTGAGGAGGCTGCCAGTGGGCCAGCGTCCAAGACAAGGGGTGATGGGCAAAGCAGGACCGCGCGGAGTGACCCGGAGGTGAGGGGTGGTGGCATCAAGGAAGCCGCCTGTCCGCCCACCTCCCGGTGTCTCTCCACGCCCACGAACAGGGGGGGTTCCCCTGTGACCCCTGCACCGCTTCCACAAACCACCAACGCGGGCCGATATCATGTCGACCCTCGACCCCTTGACCCAAGGTTTGTGGTGCTATTCTTCGCCGCTCGCTTTGGTTCACGCAACTCCACTGATGGCTTGTTGTTTCCTCGAGTTCTTCTTGCATCATCCCCAGTCCCTTCGGTTCAAGAAACGCCGATCCCGATCCCCCGGGCGCGCACGAATAGAATACTATGGCAGGGGGTACAATCCGGATTCCACATATCCACAGACTTGGCTCGGGATGTCAGGCCCTCGGTGTCCCCCTGCCAAACTGCCGTGCGTTGCTGCAGAAGCGGTTTCTGTTGCCCGCGGTACACGAGTTACGCATGTAGTTATACGAAATATTCGTAACTGAAATACTTGGTACTTGCTCTGCTGGGATAGGCGAAAAAGGCAGGGTAACAACACAGGCGCTTGCCCACCATTGTGTGCATACATGCCCACGCAGCAATACTTGTTAAGTCGGTAGCAACATGGGGATCCTCTCGTCTGCTGCTCTCTCGGAGGACGGTCAGGGGGCTCGGATAATAGTTCTTTCGCCCTCATCGTCCATAGCACCAGCGGATGGTCTGGTTCTACGAAGTAGAAGACCTGTCTTTTGTTGTCCTGTACACAGTACATACCTCCTAGCAGAAATGAAATCCGCCGACGCCGCGAGCTTGACTGTGCCTTCGGCGTACAGTTCTTAACTCCTTGGCACTAGGGCATTTGGATGCGTCTGGGCGTGGAACGCTAATGTAGAATTGAAGAGCGGATGTACAGTTCCGACAAATAAGAGATGCAGGAGGCTTCTTGTATCAACAGACCTCGGTACAAGGGAGACCGACCCGTGAGAACTTTGGTCCAGACCGAGCTTTCAACTCCAGAGCGATTCAGGCACTCAGCCAGGATTCACTGCGGTGAGGCGTACCGGGGGCCACAGTGTATCCGCATTCCGGGGAAACCGGGGCCAGCTCCATCGCCGCAGGAAGTTGAACAACAGCTTCGATTCGCGGGGGCCGTTTTACAAGTTGTTCGACAAATGTCCGGAGTGAGTGCCGAGCTGAGCTATTGGATGGTTTCCGACCAACAGCGAGGGGCGTTTGAGGATACATGAAAAGTGTTTCAGCATTTGCCATGGCGCCCAGGCAAGGAGTTTCGTCGACGTCTTCTGTCCGCTCTCAGACGCCCAGTGCGATCCCCCAATTTCGAATTTTTGATCTCCGTAGTGAGTTAGCTCGGAAAGAGGGAGTCGCCTCTGGTCCGAGTGGCACGTAGACCTTGGTGGCGTTGCAGTAGCCCGACGCAGCACGCGACGCCGAGCCCGCTAGCAGTGGCCCTGTGCTGGGGGCTTTGGGGGTGATGAGTCCCGGCTGTTGTTGGCCTAACTGTTCCCATAACGTGATTGCCAATACCACGCCACGGCTGGGCCTTGTCAACCCATGTCTATCACATGCCCGAAATCCAGCGAGACACAAGAGAGCGGGGTGGGCCAATGGTTACCGTTGGATGCCGAGGGTGAATATTCCGCATTCACCGCTGGTAAATCCGTCTGTGGCGTTCACTTCTCGCGATCTCATGCCTAAAACAATGTGGTCGAGAGTGATGTCTGAGTTGGAGGAAGGAGGAGAAAACAGTTACCGAGCAGGGTGCCGAGAAAGGCCGCAGCTTGGCTGATTCGGGAGGCCATCGGATGTTACGCTCAGGGATCACCCATGGTTTTCCGACTTGCTCCATCCTTTTGGGCAAAAGGGTCCACAAGTCGTGTGTGTCCTTCGGAGAGGGAAACGACGAGAAAGAGAGGGCTCTCAACAAGGCGTTGGTTTTGTTTTTCAAGACCCAGTTTCCCACTTGGCTAACTTGAAGGTTTGTCGCTGGCGATCCCCAGGGGCCCATGCCGGCCACGCCATGCAAGACATGCCCGGAAAAGACACAGGACGGAAACCAGACGGCCCCAGTACCAAAGATCAGAGAGACCCGCCGTGTCGTGCCATGCCCCGGCAGATGCAGGCACCGGGCTTGCTTTCCACGATGCGATGAATTTAAGGTTGGAGATCACGGATCCGACGTCTCTTTTCTGCAGTCAACACAGCATCTCCCAGGCCTATTGTAGAAACAAGTCCGAGAGGCGCTGCGTCATTGCCGCCTTAAACGTGGGGATGGCTCAAAGACCCGGGAACCACGAGTTGCCAAGCAGGGTGCTCTGGTGGTGTTCGTCGTGGCTTCGGCGCAGGGATCGTAGAAGCCCCACGCGGCGTATTCGGGATCTTGCCGGCACCCATGTCTGAGAATCATTGCATGAAATGTGCGATTTCGCGCTCGAAGCCGCAATGATGAAATTTCCGAAGAGGGACGGTCGGGGGCGGTGAGAGCGGTCGCACGTGGACATAAGGTACCTCACTTACTTAAGGGAGTTAATCTATTCGTATAGATAGGATTAACCTTCCATGTCAGTAGTGTGTGTGTGATGTTGGTCAGAAAAGACAATATTCAAAACTTGAGTTTGTGGGGCGAAAACACCAGTTGGTTTTGGAAGATCAATCTGGAATGTGGAATGCCTCGGATCGTTTTCAAGCGAGGAAAAATAGGAAGCTCAAAGAGCCCTGAGACGACGGTGCTGCCAATACCGTTGAGGTGCGTTAACTAGTGGGGCGTGGGGTGGAGTGGAACGGTGGAACCCCGCCATGAACACCCGGCAGGGTGGCAGGCGATGGAGGTTCTACTGTGGTATTCTCTCAGCTGCCAAATCGATTGCTCAGCAGCGTCAACAAGGAAGAAAGTTGCAATCCATCGCCAACAAGCTCCCTTTGCGCACATTTTCCTTTATTCCACTTCCACTTACGTCCATCCTCCACATCAGGATACCACGTAACATCGCCTTTTCCGGGCCGTCCCCCACGTTTCGTTCAACGGCGAGAACTGTTCTGTCAAACGGCCAAAGATGGAGAGAGATCTCGAGAACGCCAACCCCACTATCCTGAATGTGTCACAGCTGCCCAGCAGACAGCGGAAGGGGCCTGTGACGAGGCACGGCCCGGATTCCAAGTGTGACAGCATCGTCTTCCCCCAACACCCCTGGCCATTCGGCTCGACTTCATCATCGGACGAAGGAGACGATGACGGCGAAGATCATGTGGATGCGCAAGATATCTACGGTAAGTGCCGTCGTCTATGAAACCCACCCCTGTCGACGACCAGGGAAGCACAACACAAGCGCACCTGGAGACTAAACAACAAACTAACTAACGCTTCATAGACCTCATATCCACCATCTCGGACCCTGAGCACCCGCATACATTGGGACAGCTGTCTGTTGTGAGGCTCCCAGACATCCACCTGGACCCCTCCCCCGCCGTGCTGCCAGACCCAGATTCTCTCGTCACCGTTTTGGTTGAGCTCACCCCCACCATCAACCACTGCTCCTTAGCAACCGTCATCGGTCTCGCCGTACGGTGTCGGCTAGAGCAGACACTGCCGCCCAACTACCGGGTTGACGTCAGGATGAAGGACGGGTCACATGCCCAAGACGACCAAGTCAACAAGCAGTTGGGTGACAAGGAAAGAGTCGCAGCCGCATTGGAAAACGACACGCTACAGCGCATGGTGGATAAAATGCTTGAGACATGTGCATGAGTGGATTATCCTGGTAGACCGTTACAAAGATTTGCCCGGTCGGGTTGAAAGCTTGGGTGGCATCTCGAAGGACCCGTCCCTTGCTTGCCGTGGCATTCAGGTGCTAGTGTGACCGCCAGCAGAATATTTGAATCCTCTGAACAAGGCTTGCCACGACACAGTCAGCGCCAGATGTCCAAAGAAGAGCTCGGTCAAGCACAGTCCGCTATGATTGGTGGGACAACTTCGGTCTGAACTCTTGGTCCGCCTCGCTCCCACCCGCTCGGGACGCTCCCAGGTTCTCATCCGCTTCTCGACCAAAGGCACCCTTGCGCGGCATAGGAATTGGTGCAGAACACCGCCTGAAAACCAGGCCAAGACCAACTTCTCGAAGGCATGCATATGAAATGCGACTTGTCAAGATCGACATACATGCACACCAGGCTAGATACAAACAATACGAATCGGCGGAATACTCAAGCTTCCGCAAATCCTGTCCCAGGATGTCAACATGCAGTATGTTTCAGCACCTCCCAGAAGGCCGAGATTGAACACTCGCTCCACTCCTTCAAATACTTGTTGACGATCGCCTCGTCACTCGGGCATTAAGCAAACATTACTATTTTGGGTGAGACATTTTCTGTTTCTCGTCATTCGAAAGACGGGTATCTACTTCAATCAGTACCCGGTTTGAACTAAAGGGCCTCATCTCCGTGTTTAAACAGACTGTGTAACGGCAGGGGATGCTAGTTTTAGAGCACATACTTGTAAACATGCTGCATATACGCAGTAGATTCTCAACCCCCCCTGTTGGCATTGAGTTCTGTCTCTAGGCAACCTCCATACGGAGCACGCCGAACTCCAAGGCAACAAGACGCTGTCGACACACAATGCCTGCTGTTTCCATTCGTCATCGGCTTCCCAGACCTCTTGCGTGCCTGGTCCACGTCACTTGCTTGCATGGCATCTCAGAGCAGGCCATAACAAGTGACGTTGAGTCGGACCGAGCAATCACTCACCGAGCACAGAAACGGAGATTTCCGAGAGTAGCTAGGTGGAGAGGAAGATTCACTGCTAGGAAGGAGAAAATAAAGAAACCGAGATCGCCGGGCGTAGTAGGTACCGTGTACTGTGTCTGATGCTGGAAAGGAGAGTGGCGGATACGGACCAAGGCGTGGAACAACCAAACCAGGCTCTCCACGCCTTCCGAGACCCTCTCTCTCACCCGCGTGTTTCAGTTGACATCACATCCGTGCCTTTGCCCAGACTGCCCATCGATCGCATGGGTTGTCCCCCGCCAAGGGAAGTTGACAGACAGCAGCATCGGATGATGTTTTGCCAGGATCGGGCGTGGAGATCGAGCCGCAACGTCCCCCCTTGCACATCGTGTCAACGGTCGACCGAACCAACAGACGAAAAAATAACCTTTTGCATGCCCTGCCCGTCCGGCCCAAATCCCATAAACAGACCTGCATGTCCGTCATGCCTTTCCTTAGCGCCAACAGACAACGAAAAAACACCTAATTCCCACCTCCCTCTACCTCCCTCCACAGCCCTCCCCCGAAAAACGACATGTGAAGGTCCAGCCAGCTGCTGCCTGCCACACCATGCGGCCGATCTCTAACCTCCTCCCTGTTCGAGTAGGGAACGACCATCCACATCCTCGTTTTTGTCTCACAACCCAACCGTCGTTGGCAGCTTTGCTCAAGGGGAGAGGGGGGGGGGGGGTACAACTTCAAAAAAAAAAAAAGCCGCACATGGGCATGGGCCTCACGAGCCTACCTTGCTTGCGCCTGTTCTGGTGAGACATACATGCCCACATCCGATTAGCGACGCCATAGCGTTGCAGTGGTGTGTCGATGGGGAAAAGGGGGGGGGGGTTTGGTTTATGGTGGTTTGTTGGTTGTGTTGTTTGACATCGCATCTAGAACCTCTGAGCAAGACTGCGTTTTTTTTTTCTCCCTCGTTGGGCTTGTCCTTGTCATCATGCCACCTCGATATCGGGGGTGGAGTGGGAAAACGGAAGCTTCCTTGCTCCTGAGAAATGTCAACGACATCACAACGGCCTGGCGAGGGGCATCACGATGGCCTGACGGCTTCGATTGCCACCGCATCCGTTGTAGGAACTACGGGCGGGTAGCCATGTCTCACAGAATTACAATGTCCCCAGACCAGACTCACAAAGTCAACAGTTGTATTAGTCCTCTACAACCTTCTGCGCCCTGAAACGCCACAACGCCAGACAGACAGACTGAACCATGCATGGCTCAGGGCTTTCTCAAGCGCCATCCAAAGTCCCCTCCTCGACCAACTTCTGATAAAACTCAGCCTCCAAGAACTTGGCCACCGTCACATCCTCGCTTAGCCCCTTGCGCCGTCTCGTCTTGAGCACAAAATCCCTCGCGGTGGCCAGCGGGGTGGCCATCTGCAACGGGCGCGTCACCGCCTCCCGATCGAGCGGGTCGCCGGGCACGACATTCCAGCGGTCAAAGACCAGGCTGACCATGGCGCGGCCGGGGGTGTTGATGCGCAGGTCCGTCTCGAAGCCGAATGAGTCAATCACGGGCAGCAGGCCGTCCACGCGGTAGAGGGGTGTGCCCGCGATAGGGCCGTCCGACAGGACATGCCCGCGGCGACGGGCCAGGATGTTGTAGACTGTACTGACAGAGTCCTGTGGGCCCGTCATCGACACCGAGTACATGGGTTCCATGAGCCGGGGCGAGGCCATCAGGAAAGACGAGTAGCAGGCGCGGCGTGTGGTGGGAATAATCTGGCCGCCGCCGCGGAAGATGGCCTCCTGGGCCAGGGCGATGTCAATGAGTCGGAATTTGGTGTTGCGTATGGCTGGGATCAGGGTTGATTGTTAGCAGAACGCACGAAATGGCACGACATGGCACGATGGGAAGGGATGGGGCTGAGTTTGCTTCTCCCGGAAAGAGGGCTGTTGGCTGATCAAATCGGGTGGATCCTGCGGGTGTGGCTTCCTATTGTGATCGGAAGGGGGGAGATCCGGTGGAGGTGGTGCGACGGTGGAGATCTTGCATGGTAGGTTGCTCTGCAGGAGGCTCGGAGGGGATGTGCAGCACACCACTCGAACCCAGGTGCAGGCAGGTTGGGGGAGGACGACTTACGTTCTTCGCAGAGCGGCCCTTCACGAGTCGCCCAGCTGAATCCCTGGCGGATCGACTCCTTGACTGTGTTCAGCCGTTTCTTGTCGACCTGGTGCAAGAATCGTTAGCACGCGCAAGGCAACAGACGGAACGATTCCGATGAGGCGTAGACATTCCCAACAGAGACATCGGATGTGAGAAATGCAACGCTAGACGTACCTCCGCCGGCAGTGTGTCATCCTGTAAAATGTTTGGCCCCATCTCGTCGGGACCGAACGCCCAGATGCTTCTGGCCGCGAGGATGTCCCATCCATACTTCTCCTCGAAGAACTTGGGACGTCTTGCGCATCGGATCTCGTATCCTGACCGCCCCTGACTCGATGTCCCTGGCGATCCCGTCATCCAGGGGTTCTGCTGCCATCGTGATGGTGTTCTTCTTGTTGGGTGTGATGGCATAGCATTTCGTGGCCGACATATCCTGCACCGTCTCGCAGAACCGGACGACAGGATCTGACACCCTGACTTCCATGTCCGCATACAGCCGCCGCAGGTCATGCAGCACGCAGTCCATGTACAGCTCGCCGGTGCCGAGAATGATGTGCTCGCCCGACTCCTCCACTTTTGTTGTGATTAAGGGGTAACTCTTGTTGATTTTTCTGATGCCGTCAAGCATCTTGGGAAGCTCGGATGGGTTGATGGGTTCGACCGCGACCTTGAGAACGGACTCGGTGAAATGTGATAGTGGTTTGAAGATGTAGGCGTCCTCGTCGTCCTCGAACTTCTTGTCGACGATGGTGGCGGTCTTGACGATTGAGTTGTCCACGCCTCCTAGAAGGACCCAGTTACCTGCGGGAACGCCGTCGGTGGGGATGTTGTATCGTGTCTCGCCGATGAGGACGTCGGAGACTCTCCCCAACACCATGTCTTCCTCGTCATCGATAGAGTAACCTTCGCCGAGGACCCGGACTTCGATGCCCGGCCGCACGATACCGCTCATCACGCGCCCAAACGAGTAGAAGCTCTTGGCATCGGCGGTGTTAAAGAGCTTCGTTACGTGAATCACCAGCGGCCCGTTTTGGTCACACTTTTTCATCGACTGTGCTATCTTGGTGTCTAGCGGTCCGGTGTAGTACTGTGACAGCTTCTTCTCAGCAGCCTCGGCCGGCGAGGGAACATGTTGGCAGACCATATCGACGAACCCAGTTGATGGCCCTACGCTCCCGTTAGTATGTTGAGGCAGTATGGGTAGGAAGGAACGTACCGAAGAACTGCTCGCAGACAAGCTTCAGGAGTACTTTTGGATCCGACTTGTACTGAGATGGCTTGAGCTGGATGCCGAGCTTCTCCAAGGTCTCCTTCAGGTCCTCCGGGCTCTCGCTAATGGTGTGAGAGTACAGCTTATATATCGGCTCCAGGATGAAGTTGACGAATGATCGCTTGGCTTCTGGCTCGACGGGTTTCCTGGTAAAACTCCGTTTCCGCGGGTTGAAGTAGACGTCTCCCCACAACCGCCGTGAGAACTCCTGGATGTTGACGCCGCCGAAGCTGTCAGAGTACATCTTGGCAAAAGACGCCAACGTAAAGCACCAGCCCATGGAAGCACAGGCGAAGAGCACATTCCCTTTCTCGGGGCTTATCCTCCTTTCCGCACCCCGTCCGGGTATTGTGTTCTCAATAACGGTGTTGACTTCCTCGATGACGTGTTTCAGCTTGTAGTATGCGTCGTTGGGCGGTAGCTTCAGCTCGAGTATTAGCCGATCCATCTTGTTGACGATCAACGTAAGTGGGATGTCCTCGAGAACCGCGTGCTTGATGATCTGCTCCGTGTTGACCTGCACCCCTTCGACCACATCCACTACCAAGCACACGCCGTCCACCAACCGCAATGATGCCGCCACCTCATCGACGAAGTCCACATGCCCCGGGGTGTCGAGGATGTTGACAAGATGCGATTTCCCTTTGGTGTTTGGGAGGACCAAGCTCATGGGGGCGGCTTTGGTCGACAGCCCCCGATCCCGTTCGAGGACATGAACGTCGGTGTATCGGAGTTGCTCGTCCCGCTTCTTTCCCGTCCGCTTATCCAACCGCTCTGTGATCGCATGGGTCTCCAGAACCAGCATGTCCATCAATGCAGTCTTGCCGTGGTGCAGATGTCCTGCCAAGGCGACGTTCCGAATCTGTTCCGGGAAGTTCATGAGGTCGGCCAGGAAACTCCGGTCGAAGTAGACGGGCGGTAGGTCGGCTTCCTCGATGCTGAACTTCTTCTGCTCGACCGGGGCAATGATGGGCTGTGTTAGGGGTTGTGCATCTTCCTCTTCCACCAATGTCTCGACTCCTTCCCCGTACACTTGCGCCGCTGTCGGGTAGTACTGCTTGTCTTCATGGAGAATGACTGCGTTTGAAGGTCCTTCATCTTTGCCAATGGTTAGTTCCGAGCTCGAACGTATCCGTTCCTCTGTGTGCATACCATCAACATCCATCTGCTCCTCGGTGGGAGCTTCTTGGGCTGCCTCGGGGTACTCGCCGTAGGCAAAGTTGCCTACGTCCACGCCATGCTCGGATTCTTCTTCAGAGGCCTCGACATCCTCGCCAATGAAGTTTCCAAACTCGTCATATAGATCGTCGTCCATGGTTGCGGGAAAAATGGGTGTTTCGTCTTTGAATGGCCCCAAAATCGTTGTCCCGTCGCGTCGCGTGCAGTGATGTAAGGCTGCTCCAAAAAATTACCGACTCTGGCTTGGTCGTCGCACATTGGCGCATTGGATCTTGGATCAGAGCTGTGTGGCTGAAAGCTCCTGAGGTCGTTCTTGCACTCGCCACAGATGGGGCGCTTCCTTGGGCGTCCGGCGGTCGGCCAGACCCTTGCAGAACGGGCACTTGTTATTCGCCGCTGACTAAACGGGGGGCAAGGGACCCTTGTTCTCGACGGAGGGGCATATCTTATCGGCGCCATCGACTCCTTTGCTCAACTATAGAAATTCCCCACTACACCGACAATCCCAGGTGCCCAACCAGTTCATCCCAAGAGTCTAATTGTCTTTACACGCAAAAATCGTCAACATGGCCGGTCTGCCTTCAGTTTACATCGTTTCCGCCGCGAGAACCCCCGTGGGTAGCTTCTTGGGGAGTCTTTCCAGTCTCACTGCCACCCAATTGGGTTCCCACGCCATCAAGTGTAAGAGAGGCCGTTTTCTGTTTTCCGTACTTTGTCGCCAACCCCTGACAGGATATCACGACTAACTAAACTACGCCATCAGCTGCCGTTGAGCGTGTGCCCGAGATCAAGCCCGAGGATGTTGAGGAGGTTTTCTATGGCAATGTCCTGTCTGCCAAGTAGGTGACCTAGTCGACTAACAACAACAAATACCCCACCATCGATGTCCTCCTAACACTCTCTCGCTCCCAGTCTCGGCCAGGCCCCTGCCCGGCAGTGCGCCATCAATGCCGGTCTCTCAGAGAGCGTTGTGTGCACGACCATCAACAAGGTGTGCGCCTCAGGCCTGAAGGCCATCATCCTCGGTGCCCAAACCATCATGACCGGCAACGCCTCCATCGTCGTGGCTGGTGGCACCGAGAGCATGTCCAACACACCACACTACCTCCCGAACCTCCGCACCGGTGTCAAGTACGGTGACGCCTCTCTCGTCGACGGCGTGCAGAAGGACGGTCTCCGTGACGCATACGGCAAGCAGGAGCTCATGGGCATGCAGGGCGAGCTCTGCAGCGAGGAGCACGGCTTGACCCGCGAGATGCAAGATGAGTACGCCATCAACACATACAAGAAGGCCCAGGCCGCCACCGAGGCCGGCGTTTTCACCGAGATTGCGCCCATCGAGGTGAGCGGCGGCCGTGGCAAGCCCCCCATCAAGGTCGACCGGGATGAGGAGGTCAAGAACCTCAATGTCGACAAGCTGAAGTCGGTTCGCCCCGTTTTCATCCCCAACGGTGGTACCGTCACCGCTGCCAACGCCGCCCCCATCAATGACGGTGCTGCCGCCGTGGTGCTCGTCTCCGAGGCCAAGCTCAAGGAGCTCGGCATCAAGCCCATCGCCAAGATTCTCGGCTGGGCTGATGCGGCCCGGGACCCCCCTCGCTTCACCATCGCCCCGGCGCTCGCCATCCCTAAGGCCATCAAGCATGCTGGCCTGACGGAGAAGGATGTCGACTACTACGAGATCAACGAGGCCTTCTCAGTGGTGGCCCTGGCCAACATCAAGCTGCTCAACCTCGATGCCGAGAAGGTCAACGTATTCGGTGGCTCGGTTGCCATTGGCCACCCGCTGGGTGCTTCGGGTGCCCGCATCGTCACGACTCTGACCTCGGTTCTCCGCGAGAAGAAGGGCAAGATCGGCGTGGCTGGTATTTGCAACGGCGGTGGCGGCGCTTCGGCCCTTGTGATTGAGAACCTGCAGTGAGTGGCTTGTCCTGGGTGCGGTGCGTTCAACACACTCTCGGATGGGAAAAGCGTTTCGAGCGTTGTCTGCAAAACGGAGCGGCGGTTCTAATGCAATATGATCATCGTTTAATAGATCGGTGGTGCTTCCACAGATAGCCAAACCCAGTCTATAGAATTTTGGCATCTAAGATGGGCAAAGGCCGTCTCAGAGCATGGCCAATAGTAAAGTAAAATAATTCACGTGGCTCTTGATCCGCCTCATATTTCTAGATCCTCGGCCATGGTAACCAAGGTCAGGCAAACTCATCATACCTCCCCGCCGTTGCCGACTCTTAGTTCCCTGGCCTCCAAGCCTTGACACAGCCGTCTTCTCCAGCGGTAAACACCACATGATGCTCATCATAGAAGCAAAAACTCCTCACCAACTCTGACCCGTGCGCTCCCGGCAGCCCAACAACGGTGTCCCTATCCAACCCCCACCCGCTAGCGCCCTTGGACAAGTGAATCAACTGGAACATTTCCTGGCTACCCCATCGTTAGCACCGCGCAGTAGAAAGGTGAAAAACCAAAACACCACCAACAACCACCACCACCACAAAAAACTTACTCCTGCGCCCCCACCGAGCACACTCCATCGATACAGGGACCAGAGTGAAATCATTTAAAGAGCAAGTCCAAGCTCGCGACGGTGGTTGTGTTGTTTCGAAAGTCGAAAATCGTCGGGCTCAGTATGATATGTGGTTAGGATTTGAAGCGGCACACATCTTCCCACTTGCATACGAACAATACTGGATAGAGAGCGGTTATGGCCGTTGGATCACAACTGATCCACCTCAAGGGGGAAAGATCAATTCTGTACAGAATGGTATTCTTCTCAGGTCCGATCTCCATCAGCTCTTCGATCAATATGCGTTCTCTATTAATCCTGACGTACGTTTCCATATTATCATTGTGTATTCTACAGCCACTAACCTTGTATAGAACGGATACAAGATTATCTTTTTCATTGACGACTTGGACCAACTAGCTGGGCAAAGTCTCGACA